AAGAACATATGAGAATAAATCTGTTCTCAGATACCAATGATTACAAGAAAAATTATAACTTCTATCTTGGGATTTGGTGTTAGTTTACACTGATTTTTGGAACAGCTCCACCACTCTAGCCCTTTTGCAAAACAGCAACTTGCTCCGGACATGTGATCTAAGCTAAAATCTAATTGGACGACCCGTTTCATCACGGAGCGATGGCGGAAAAAAATCGACACACAGGACGAAAAAAAATCCTCGCTTTTTCGCGCCGCGAATGATTGCGTCTGGTGTGAATAGCCCCATTTTTTAGATTCAAAAGCATCATAGCTCCGAAATTTCGCAGTCAATGTGAAAAGGCATTTACACTGAACACGAAAATTCAGCGCGAATAATGGTCTCATGGTCTCATGGTGCCTTCGCATGCTATCACAAACTTTATAAGTCCCACTTGTGATTATGAGCTCGACAAATTCAAGCGGTCAACTTCACATTGCTTTCTGTAACTGCTGCTATTATATTGTTTACATAATTTATGTTTGTAAAACACTTTCATAATTGAGAATTTAAGTTGTCTTTGTTATTAATACCGTTATACATTATTTTATTTATTGTATGTACTTTTATTTTGAAATCTCGATCATGCGCAAATGCTGACTTCATATAAAAAAAACTCTGAGCTGGCAGCAAGCACGGACATTATGTATGCTCCGGTAAAAGTTTATTCTTATCACGAAGGACTTAAAAGACCATAAGGAAGACTTAAAGAATATTTCCCTTTCTCACAGCATACAGCCAACAAGGTATTTTTGTTTTATTTGTCTGTGTTTTATGTAGGGCTGCACGATTAATCGAATGCGATTGTCATGTGTATCTTGTCAGTAAAGCCGGTTCTGTGATCAGTAGTAAATCTCCATCATGTGCTTTCAGATGGAGCAGCATTTACTACATAGAACGTCTCGGTTACGTATGTAACCCTTGTTCCCTGAAGGAGGGAACGGAGACGTCACGTTGTGACCGACGAATTGGGATCTCGCTTCGAGAGACCAATCTACTTAGAGTGTAACTAAACGAGACTATGCACATTGGCATGCAATTATTGCATCCAGCTGCCGCTGATCACAGCGTGAGCATAAAAAGGCAGCCGGTGCAATGCATACCAGGTTTTCGCTGAGGAGCCGAGCCGGTGACCCGGCCGCTCAGCGGTGGTACAGCAGCCGTGGCGACGGGACGTGACATCTCCATTCCCTCCTTCAGGGAACGAGGGTTACATACGTAATCGAGACGTTCCCTTTCAGTTAGTCAGTGCGATTCACGTCGTGACCGACGAATTGAGATTCCTACCAAAGTGCCATGGATGCTGCCCCTTCCAGTGCCCTGTGCGAGCCACCTGCGCCCCTTTTTGGTGTAGACCGAGGCTCGCAACAAGAAGATCATTCACTGTTGTCGTAGCACTACCCACTCAGTGAGATTGGATAACACTGGGAAAGCGTACCCGTTCCACTTGGAAGAGGGACGCTGCGGAAGCCTCATCCTTCCCGAAGGAGGTTTCGGAAGCAAATACACATATGAACATCCATTTAGGTGCATATGGAAGATTAGAGGTGATTGTAACCCTCATGGAAATGGCAGAAGTCTGCCGGGGAAACACGGGCTTTGAGGCTATACTGTGGACTTTACACATATGGGAACCACTTAGGCCTCTACATATGGAACCCAGCCCTCTACCGGTTCTCACGGATTCATCGAGTGAGGGCCTGGCATCGGACGTTTGCCACGTCTGGCTGCCGAGGGGACGGAGGAGCTCGACAGGGCCTCCAGTACGGACACTCTGGAGCAGTTTTAGCAAACCGACACTAACCAGGGCCTCTCAGTGCCTCTACCCGTTTGAGGTGAGAACACAGAACGATACCGGCTCTACACGAAGGCTATAGAATCTAGTGAACGTGTTACGTGTTGCGAACGTGTTGCCCAGACACAGCCTGAGATGGTGCTCCTGGACCACAAGTGTGGACATCACACGACCCAGAGAACTCGCGGTGACCTTCGTCGCTCGGAGCGCGAGGTCAGTAGCGGTTTGAAGCTCTTTCGGAACTTCCAGATCATGACCACCCTCGTGCAGGTCTCTCAGTGCCTTGGCCTGATGAACCTGAAGTAAGGCCGTAGCGTGTAAGGCGGAGGCAGATTCTCCACAGGCCGTATAAGTACAGGCCAGGCCAGACGAATACCTACAGACCTGGTAGGGGAGGCACGGTTCGCCCTGCCGGGTGGAGGCAGTATTAGGACGCAATTGCATCGCAACCGACCGCTCCACCGGGGGGACCCTTGTATACCCCCTAGCTGCACCACTGTCGAGGGTGGTGAGGGAGGAGGAACCAGCAGGTCGGTTTCCGGCAGTAAAAGGTGCTGTCCATGACCTGGTGTGCTCCTCATGCACCTCCGTGAAGAAAGGCACTGAGGAGGGGCGCTGAGAACCAGCGTAAGCCACCCTGAGAAACCAATCGTCCAACCTCAAGGGCCCGGGACATGGTGGAGGTTTCCTCTCGAGCCCTACCCTCTCGGTGGCCCGGGAAACCATAGCCAACATCTCTGGATCCGATTCAGGCGAGCTCTCCCTCCGATGCAGTGATCAACATCCGGTCATCGGGAGGAGCAACGAAGGATACCACTGGTACGCTCTTTGAAGAGGGCCCAGCCCTCCTTTGGTGGCTCAACTGGTTGCGAAGCACTAAAGGAGCGTTGGTCCCCCGAGGGTTGGTTCCCTGAGGGGTTTGCCACCACTGTAACCCTCCAACCGCCCGTGCTACTGCCCAAAGTAGGCCACGCCTGGCTGCCGCCAGGACGAACAATAGATTGCGGCAGAGGCAACGGAGCATGGCCCGCAGCTCCGAGATGGTCATCTTCCCGTAATGGGAACATGACTCATCCGTGAACGCTACCTCAGCGTGCTTCATGCACAGACACGTGAGGCAGCGATCGTGACCATCACCCGGCGCCAGGTAACGACCGCATCCAGAAACGCACAGGTGAAACGGCATCTTTAAAAAGACGATCCGTCGTCTTTACAAAGACGCACCCGTGGAGCTCTTTTAGAGAAATTGCTCTTTCAGAGAAATGCTCTTTTAGTGCTGAGGTGCACAGGGGAAATGGCCGCTTACAGCACAACAGGGGGTAGTGCAGCCTGAAGTGCGCAACCCACTCGACACAGGAACGACCACCGCTGAAGCGCCGTCTGCCAACACCAGAAGCTTCCAAGAGCGCGTTGAACTCGTAGCTCACTGAAGACACTTGGATGGAGCAGAACGATGTTGTCGTTCGGCTCCGAAGCAAAAATCTGGTATGCATTGCACCAGCTGCCTTTTTATGCTCACGCTGTGATCAGTGGCAGCTGGATGCAGTAATTGCATGCCAATGTGCATTGGCTCGTTTAGTTACATTCAAAGTAGATTGGTCTCTCGACGCGAGATCCCAATTCGTCGGTCACGGCGTGACTCGTAGTGACCGACTGAAAGGGAACCATAGTTCACTGACAAGGTACACAAAGCCACTTTCATAATCGTGAAAATACCACATTTAATAACATGTTTTTACTCTAAACTCACTTCATAACATCAGTCGAGTGTTTGCAATAAATTAATAAATAAAAAATAAATGAAATAAATCCTTCTTTGAGATGATGTGGCTTCTTTCACAGAATAAGGCACGCAACATTTTTCATAGTATTCTAAGCAGTGATAAAGGCTATGTAGATTAGCATTGCATTATTATATACTTTATTATAATAAAAAATATAATAAGACGAACTCAGATATATTCCATATTTTGTCATAGTCATGTGTTTATTAGTCACGTTAAATTAATGAAAGCAGTTAAATCTTCTGTTTATTCAGCAACTGCTATAGGGATTTCTTGGATTTCTTTTGCGAGGCGTATTTGGAGTTTCTGCACGAGAGCGCCCTCTGGCCTTCGGATGGAGATTTACTACTGATCACAGAACCGTGCTTCCCTGACAAGATGCGCATGACAATCGCAGCTTTTGCCTAATCTTGATTGCGATTTAATTTTGATTAATCGTGCAGCCCTAGTTTTATGTCAGTAAAATGCCATTACGTCTGTTGTGCACACTTTCGCTATGTGTCAAGCTAATGGGGTTTTGTATTCTCTTAATAATTATTAATATTGTTAATATAAGTTAATATTGGTTAGTTTTCACGGTGGATTTGGAAAAAAGTCTTCAAATAAACCAGTAGCAGGAGAACTGCTTGTGTCTGCATATGCTTGGAGGGAGATACAGTGAAAACTCGATCTGTTCGAAGACACGAGTGGATGACGCAGCAAGTTTGTAGGACCAGCGGCCTTATCACGATGTGTACGCAGCGCATGGAGTGTCATCGCGAGATTAATAGATGAGCTGAAAACACGCACTACACAAACAAACACACACATAAAGACATAAAAAGACGCATAAAGTTATCGGGAACAACAGACTAAGTCATAAAGAACTTGAACATTTGAAGTGCCTTAAGAAGAAGATTTTATGGCTTGCTAAAGGAGTGTGTGTCCTGAATGTTTTGCCTAATTTACTTAATTTAATTGAAGTTTGTTATTTATAGACACATTTAAAGAGTCGTCAAACTTTCTATATTTCCAATTTAAAGTGTTTTGTAAGTAATGATAGAAGGCTATTTGCCAGTTGATATCAAAGTCTTTTGAAGTGTTGTATATATTGAGTGTATTTTGAAAGGTAACATTCAAGCTAAAATAAGCTGTTTTGCACATTTAAATTTCTTCTGCAATATTGTTAAGGAAAACAACATTTGCTTTGTTTAAGCCTTAAAGTATTTACATTTAATTTAGATTTACATTGCATTTAAAGTGTTAAAGGTTGATTTAGAGACCTTATTACCTATACATATTTTATGCTAACAAAGTTGAGTAAATTTAAAGTAGTGATTCAAAATGTCAGAATCAAATGAGCCCACAATTCAGGTAAGGGACAGTGTTAGGGATAGTGCAAATTCCCAAGACCAGCCTGAAGAAGGTCAAGTGGGTGGTGCTAAAGCACAATAAAAAGAGGCACAGGATTCAAGAAGACGTAAAAGAACCAGAACTCTAACAGAGAAGGGTAGAGAAATGCAAACTGCAAAAATAAAGTCACTTCAACAAAGGTTTAACTACATTTATGACAAATGGAAAATATGTTAAATCTTCTAAGCGAACATTACCACAATCAACAGAGACTTTATCTGATGACCTGCTTAATGATATCATTGGTGATGTCATATGACTTTCTGCAGATCTCCAGTGTGTTTATGATGAACTACACAGAATCTCAACTCCAGATCAAGATACATGTCGAAAGTTAGAAATGTCTAAGTTTGTTGTATCTAGAGCCTCGAGTAGACTTTATGGAAAGACTCCAGGAGGAGAAGAGCAAGTTTGGCCGGAAGCCGGCTCTCTCTTCAATTCAAGTCCATGTAAATCAGGTTCTGTCTCTTCTGTCTTGAAAGAGCTTCAGAACATTCAACTAGGTCTTCTGTGAAGCGACAAGAAGCTGCTGCTGATGCTGCTGCACGCCAAGCTGTTCTGGAAGTGTTACAAGAACAAAATAAAGAGCAACTGGAAATGCAGCTTCTAGAAGCACAAGTTAAAAAGAAGATGGCAGATCAAGAGGCAGTGGCCACAAAGCATCCAAAAAGCAAAAGAGGTGACACGAAGAATACAGAGGGAGGAAGAGAAGGCCAAAATTAAAGCTCAACTGGAAGAAGAACATGCAAATCTACAAAAGACTCTTGAGGAAAAACGGAGAAAGATACAACATTTGGAAGAAGGGAAAGGTCTTAATCATTGCAAAAAAAACTATTATATCACTTTTGTTAAGTTTTGAATGGTCAGGTGGTGCATATTTATTACACAGCTTCGTAGAATACTTGATTTAGATTGGTCAGTTGTGGCATTCAGTGGTCAAATATTTCTAAATACTAACCTTCTTCAGCGTTATGACACTATAAAATAATTTCTACTCAGATCAACTTTTCATGTTCATATATTTATTTATTTGGCAAGTAGCTGTGTAATACCTGAGAAAATGTATAGTTGACCAATCATTATTGCAAAATTATTTTGATTTTGCAGTAGTAACCAGCTGACTGTATATTATCTGTTACATAAACATTAGTCAGGGTGGATGCCATTGAACAGACTCATTCATCTCAAACTAATATGACATCCATCAATCAAGAGCAGGCCATGAACATCAACACCCTACATATTTAATTACAGTTTGCAAAATATGTACTGTAATATGGACAGTTCCATCTTCTCCTTTTAGTTCCCATCCTCCATCTCCTGATGTCTGAGGAACTCTGTTTCCTTCCACATATTCAACATGTAACTTAGCATGTTTTCCATGTGTGGACTATCATTCAGTGTCCCATCATTCTGAGGCACTTTGCTTGGCTTCATGATGCTTTCAGTTTCAGTTTTTGGATCATCGCTTAGTTCCATTGTCGCTCCAGGGTTGGGGTTGGTGACCATACCCAGGAAGAGAGGCATGTAAGAGGCATCATCCACCAGTGCGAAAATGAATGGCATGTTGACTGCAAAAGTAGGAACGGTGCGCACAAGAGTAACAGAGGTTGCAGCTGAAGCCTCGGCCCCCTCCTCGCTCAGCTCCATGCTTGAGGCATGTTGTACGCCTGAAACCACTATCGGGCCTGGTGAGATTCTGGATAAATCAGGCCCAGTAAACAGCAAGTCTAAACCTGAATGAAAGAGATGAGAATGTGTGCGACAGTTCTGTCTTACTGAATTATTAACTCTCACTTCACAAAAGCATTGATCGACTGCATGTTGACCAAAGGACATCCACTTATAAGGTCAGATTTCACCACATGATGGGATTCACAGCCACAAGTCATTTGAGAACATGTAGATATAAACTCTTTTTTAATCTTACCCATGCTTGTGAGTGCTTGTCGCAGATCCTGCTTGTACTGTAGTTTGAATTTAGGTAGTTTTACATGCATGGACTTCTCATTTTGAAAATGTTGATACATGTCTGATATGTTGAGTTTGGCAGCCGCATTTGACAGATTTCCATGGGATGGCACTGGCATTACCACCAGAAGACTCATATTTCCTTGAAAAGGGAACCTTGCAACCTTAGGGCAGCATGGAAGGATATCAAACCAAATCAAAATTATCTACAGGCTTTTGGGTAAATGTAAATGTAAAATTATGATTAATTATAAACAGCAAGATTACCTGAGTACCGTCTTTTCTATCTATGAACATGCTGAGTGGATATTTGGATCCCATCATCATGTCCACTTTTACAGAGGTTTTTTTGTCAATGTAGAAAATATCCTTTACAGTGAACTTGGAATCAAAACGGGATTGCCACTCTCCTAAAAAGGGACGTTTATTTACTTAATTATTTACTTATTTACATTTCCACATCTTTATAAATTATGGGGTCAGCGAATAATAAAAGTATCCACTATATACAAAAGGAAATATATCAATTAAAACATGTTAAGTTCTTGAAATTTCACATGGTCTTTTAAAAAGTTAAATTTGATTGACTGTAAAATGTCATGTGGTGTAACCATCTTTATTTTCAAATTCAAAAAATATTTTAAAATGTAATGATTGTACCGAGGGGGGCCTGAGTCAGTATGCTGTTCAGGTGTTAGGGGGGGCAGAAACCATAGTGACACTTCTGGTACAAGGACAATTAAATCACCCAGAAATTTTTTTTTTTTACGTCTTCCAAAAAATAATTTAAAAAATTGAATTCTAAAATTAAAAACATCAAGGTAAAAAAAGAAAAACCCTGAATACATGTGAGTGCAGACATCTTACTCATTATTTTCAAATAAATGTTTTATGATGTGTTATTTTTCAAAGTGAAAAGGTTTTCATATCTTCTCTCAGTTATGACAGCTGAAATGCAGACCAACCTTTAAAATGAATGGCGTTTATCAGCATTAGAACAACATTAGATGGGAGACTGGACATAAAGTTGGTTATGTGACCTTTGGTGGCTTCCTCTACCCAATGATTGACTTCCTCAATGGAGGTTAGATGTGCAGGTTCGGATTTGTACAGGTTCAAAGCTCTGTCCACAAAGTCCTGGTTCACCCTAACAGCTTCACAAAGAAAAAAGCAACTACAAAATCTACAAAAAGCAACCTCAACAAAACTAACATTTAAAGTATGTCAACAAATGGTTTGTCCTGAACCTCAAGCTCAAAAGGATCTTCCAGTTGTCGGGTTTACCATGATCAAACAAAATGCCATGAGTTCATTACCTGGTATGAGGTAGAGACGAGATGCCATCTTGACAGCCTTGGCAGTTAGTTGTTCTTGGAGACAGCTTAAGGTTTCATGAAAATTTGGCAGCTCTTTTGCCTGAAGGACTTCCAACAACTTCTCTTCTGTCTTGTTCCTTGCACCTAATGATTTAAAACATATATACACATATACAAAAACTATATAACTGGTATATATTCACACTTCCGTATGATTAATTGCAGAATTCTCACCCAAAGCGAGCTCGGCAAGTGCAAGAGAAACACTGAGAGGAGATATGATTATGTTTGGTTGCTCAGACTTAGGCTGTATTTTTTCTAAAAGCGCCAATCCCAGTTTAGCCACTGCACCACCAACTGCTCGCTGAGCCTCCAAGCTTAAGACATCATTGCAATTCACTTTGCCATCATCTGTTTCATTAGATGCCTGAAATAAGAGTGGCAGAAATGATCATAAAAAGACTGCCCTTTTTAGAAATGAGCTAGAGTGATATTTTTGAAACAAACAACGTGGATGATCAAGATTTGGAGAAAAAAATGTAGTATCTCATAGTTTCTTACCAACTGTCCAACCCTAAAGAAACAGAGCATTATAAGCACTATAAGACAGTGCTTCATGTTCTTACTGTCAGCCTGGAACACATAAAACAGATCATATAATAGTACAGTTTCAAATATTTGTACAGATACTTATTTCATTATTGTCTTAATAATTAATAATTAAGGTGATGTTCCATGTTATTCTAAAGTATGACTTTAGAACATCATTATGTGTGATTTCAGCTTTTCACAAGGTATTGAGGGATAGCCAAATGTGTACAAAGGTAAAGATCTCATCCCCTACAATTTAAAGTAACCCACAAATTACTGTAAAAAGGTTTGGTAACACTTTAGAATAAGGTCTTATTTGTTACCATTAGTTAATTTATTAACTATATGGATAAACATTAACTAAATGTAATATATATATATTTACATATATTAGTAGTTTTTAGTTTATTATTACTTTATTATTATTATTTATTATTTTTGTCTTTTAATATTTATAATCTTTGTCAGTGTTAGTATATAATGCATGTTAGTTCATTGTGCATTAACTAATGCTAACACGTACACATTTTAATTATTTTTAAATGTATTAGTAAATATTCAAATTAACACTAATACATGTTGTTATTGTTATTAATTAATTATTGCTCATTAGTTAATGTTAACTAATATTAACAAATCAAAACTTATTGCAAAGTGTTACAAAATGTAACATTTACACAATTAAGTGATACAACTATATACCATGATTTATTTATTTATTTATTTTGACGTAACAACATTCTGCATTGTGCATATGATTCTGCATTCCAGTAATTTCTTGTATATTTACAGATTAACTGTACAAAGTTGACATTTAGGTTCTCATCATGTATAGCGACGTGAACAAATTATGTGATCGCATTGTTATTATTTGATGGTTTATTTTGCTGCTTTTGTTTTTGATGCCAACATTTGCTACTAGTGTAATGTTTAGAGTGTTTCTTATGGCACACTATGTTTTTATATATATTTTTTATGATTTATACTTTTTCACAGCCCATAAAAGTTCCTCAGAGACAACCCAATAATACATATATACATCTATATAATATTAAAATATAAGATACTATTTTCATTTTGCTTGCAAAATTCAGAACTAAAGTGTCAATGTTTGTTTCATTCTGTCAGTTGTCTTAGATATAGACTAAAAATATCTTCATAAAATACAAAAATGTGTTTTCAAAAATACAGCACAAAAAAATCATACTACTACAATTTAAATGTTAACGTTTTTAAATGTTGACACTTTTTTGTAAATTCTAAAAGAAAAGAAAAAATACTAATTTGATATAATTTCATAAAATGTGTTAAGCAAAAAATAATAATAATAAAATACCCCCCTCACATTTCCCATGACTGTTGACTGTCCCAACCTAGAAATGCAACAGATACAGAAGAGACAAAGATAAAAACAGATAAACTTACCTAACCAAAATTTTGACAATAAAGAGGTGATAAATACAGAGTGAGTGAATGATGTAGACCCAGAACAGATGACTAGAGTAGAATGCTCTCAGACACTGTGCTGTTGGTTAATGTTTCATCATCCACTGACTTGTGTCACCATTTAGTTTTAAATGTAAATATTAATATATGTGATCCAGGGTCAAGATGCCCAATGGATCACCACCAAAACAGATATTATTTAGGTTATCCAAAACTTTAATAAATGTGAAAATGTACAAACAATTATTAAGTTGTTTGTTGTTCCAAGGACATAAACAATATTAAAATTAATAATATGTTAATTAATTATTTAATTAATTAATAATATATTTAATTAATAAAACTAATTAACAAACTGTACATACCCTGACCATGAGCAATAAACTAATAAACAAAAATTGTTTAATTATCAAAATTATATAAATAGACTCTCTGACTATCTAACTTTGATGAGCTTTGGTGTAATTATGCATATCTAATACTGTGAAGAGACAAACCATTTATTGCCAAGTTTCTAGGATGTTATTATATCCTGCTATAACAATTGTACTACTAGAATATATCATGTTTGAACGTAGTTTCAAAAGCCTTAAATTGACTTTATTTGTCCAGTGTACCCTGTACTGTTCCAGCTCTCCACCTACGCAAAACCTTGAATCCCTACTCCCTCCCTTTAGACTCAATCCCCATCGTACTAATTCAAAACGAGGCCTCAACCTACAAAAAAAGTCAGTCATGGTTAATAAATGATTCTTAACGTTTAGTAGTTATATAAAGAATTGCAATTATCAATTTATGATCTAATATGAGATTTTCACAAATATATTACAATTTAAAACATATAGGCCTAATATTATACTTTACCTAACTAAATAAGAGAATATCTTTGTCTAGCCTCTCTTATGATTTTTGTTATGATATTTGATGTGAAATGAACATTGTTGTCAAAAACAGGTCACTTTCAAAGCCCACCAAACAACAATAGTGGAACTAATGCCCAATAACACCAATAGCAGTAATGCTCAATAGCTGCGTGATTTTGGCTAGATGCTTTAGAGCAGGGGTGCCCAAACTTGGTCCTGGAGGGCCGGTGTCCTGCAGAGTTTAGATCCAACTCGAATTAGATACACTTGAACCAGCTAATCAAGCTCTTACTAGGCATACTAGAAACCTCCAGGCAGGTGTGTTGAGGCAGGTTGGAGCTAAACTCTGCAAGACATCGGCCCACCAGGACCGAGTTTGGGCACCTCTGCTTTAGAGAGTATGTGTCATTGAAAATGTTATTCTCTATGTTTGACTCTAGGGGGAGCCACAGCTAAATAAATAGATGCGTGAAGACGTGGGAGCACGTGTCCAGAAGGCAGACTGCCCCTGCCTGTCTGCATACGGGTCTTTTAAGGTACATACATGCTTGTACACAAGTTATACTGTGGATTGGCTTGCAATATTACATCGAGTGAGAATCATGGTATTCGTGTCCACCATCTTATCACCATAATCAGTTACACATACAAGAATTGGAACAGTAGTCTGTACAAGTCAAATAATTTTGATGGCACTCAAAGAAATTCAACAGGTAAAAGCATTCTAAGAAATGCTGGTGTTCACCAGGTCATCCTGCTCCAAAAATCTATTTGTCTGTAACATATAGGCTATATGTGTAAAACCTTTCAATTCTGGACTCATCTTCTAGTTTAATAAAATACACTTTCTTAGCTCCGAATTGTAAACAACTATTTCCTTTTTAAACTTTACTTTACTTTTTTTTCCTTTTGTTTCTTTTGCTGCAGTTGATACAAGATGCTGACACAATGTTGATACAAAATATTTTACATCTTACATTTATGTATTTGACAGATGATTTTATCCAACGATACTTACCTTGCAAGATATATATTTCATCAGTTTATGCAACTACTAAAAATATATTGTAAATATATTGATAACATTTACAATAAGGTCCCATTAGTCAGCTTTAGTTAATGCTTAACATTTTAATAATGAGCAATAATTTGTTACACTGTGTATTAACTAACATTACCTAACTGTTAACAAATGAAACCCTCCATTCATAGTAAATTCCCATTCATAGCAAATATATGAGAGTGGAGTAACGCATCTAAAATTTAAGGAGGAGAATGGGGTTCCTCTTATGGTTCTACATAGCACCATTTGATAAAGGTGCTGTATTGTGGTTCTCTTGTGATTACAAGCCAATTAACGACTTTTAACACCATTTTTGTTTAGAGTGTATTGTAAAGTGTTACAAATACATTTTATAGTATATACTAGAAACTTATTTTTTTTAATTTGGAAAATGCCAGGTACAGAGCAGCTGAACAAATTCTGACAAGAAGATTGAACAAACAAACTGTGCAAATGATCAAAAAACATGTGCAACACTAACCCAAAAGAGACTTGGATTAGTGTTCTTTTTTTTTACATTACATTGTACTATGTATTGTTTTGGGATTGTCTGTTTAATGTTTCACAAATTAATTCCGTAAAACTATAAAACATGAAGATGTCCTTGTTTTTCCTTGTGTGCATTTGTGACCATTGGGAAATAAATCAAAGCTGTCCAAAGTCAAGTTTAATCACTTCAACTTTTTTTATTTATTTATTTTTTTTATACACAATTTGGTTGCATCATAAATAAATAATCCCTTTATGACTGTTGTATTCAATCTGGTTATTGATTATTCTCTATTATTTATTGTTTTTACAGCCTATAACAGCAGCAAAAAGTTCACCTGCAACACAAAACCATGGGTTCATCAGGATTTCCCACAAATTAGTGATGATTTAAAGAAACCTCATCCTCACCCTCACACAGAGAACTTTTGTTAGTCTCTCAGCAGGTCTGTGAGTCTGGCTCCCTGCTGGTTCTGTGTAGAGTTTAAGCAAAGTCTGCAGTGTGTACCCACTGTTTATCTCTCTGCCATTCAGCTACTCAGACAAGAGCTCATTCTTGTCTTCTCCTAGCTCTTCCCCATCCAATCTCACCTTAGTTCCTTCAGGCTGTGCTGGTCCCTGTGCTGGAACTTTTCTTGACATTTCTGTTAATGTTCATGTTCTAAACAAAAGTTATTATAAAGTGTTATCAAGAATCAAGAAATGTATTGGGAGGTCTCTGGGTTGACTGTGAGTCTAACTGAGGGTCCATGGGTCTGTAAAAATTGGAAATCCTTGGACTAGAGGATAAATGAGGTCTCCAAATATCTTAAAGGTTAATAAGTATTTTTGAAGTTAAAAGGGTCATATGACGTTGCTAAAAAGAACATTATTTTGTGTATTTGGTGTAATGCAATGTGTTTATGCGGATTAAGGTAAAAAAAACATAATTTTACAATTACTGTACATTATTGTTGCTCCTCTATGCCCTGCTTTTCTTAAACGCGTCGATCTTTACAAAGCTTATCGTTCTGAAAAGCAAGGTGTGCTCTGATTGGCCAGCTATCCAGTGCGTTGTGATTGGCCGAATACCTCAAGCTTGTGACGCAAATGTTACGCCCCTTACCATACTGTGATGCTGGAGCGACGAGACAAAAACATTAAACCTCATTATAAACGAGGCATTTGTTGCATCCAGTGGGCACATAATTATGGATTATAATGACTTATACTGTCTTTTTACGCGTTGCGTTGCATCGTGCCGTGTAAACATAAAACCATGTCTGCATTTGTGATCGGAGTAATTAACAACAAGCGCTACTCTACCCTGCTCAAAACTCGCGTTTGAATCATCAGTGGCAAATTCTTTAAATATGAAAACGGCCTTACAGACTGTGAGTCAGAACAGCCGGCATTGTAGTCTACTCTCCCAGGATCAGGAAACAGTCCTCCATAAAATGCACTGCACACATCTGAATATTTGGTTTGAACTGCTCTGGAACAGTGTTGTAAATACAACTTAACCACTGATTTCTAGTCGTGTCCTCTTTTGGAAGGCCAAACAAAGTATTTTCGCTTTCACAACGAAACACACAGCGTCTTCACAACATGGCGTCGGCGGTGGCAGCAACAATAAAGTTACCCCTTAATTCTTTGTGTGAACATTTGGGCGGTGTTATGCAAATCTTCCCACATCGTGACGTAGACATGTGGGGGCATGTTTAAACAAGGCATTTTAGGAGGGCGTGGACCAGTCTTAACTTTTATAAAATATATCTCTTTGGGTTTGAGACTTTAATCTTTGCAACTTTAGGGATCTTATCCTTTCACAAACAGCTTGTAACACTCCAAAGAGAAAGGAAAACTTGAAATCACATCATATGACCCCTTTACTTTGGCTTTGACCCTCATGAAAGTCATTGAATCATTTACATCCTGTATGTAAATGTAGACTAATATATTTTTAAATGAGTAATTTGGACAATCCAAGACGATTGGACTGCTCTATAAATTGTTTGTCGGTGGCCTATTATGAAAAAAACCTTAATCGACATATGTGACTGCATTTCCAAAAAGCAAATACATTAAAGTGACAAATATGCTGACAAATCTTTGGTGATGAAATTCACAGGTTAATATTTAATAATTGAAAATGGCAAGGTACAAATCTTGCACGCGCTTAATTATGCACTCCAATGTGTGCAGCGCTGAGTGCGAGTGAGTGTGTGGTGAGAGAGAGAAAGATAGTGACAGCGCATGCACTGTCTACAGATCAGAAAATAGTTTTGTGCAGTTTTGTGCAGTTTCCCCCCGTTTTGGACTTTTCTTTGTGAAGTTATCTTAAGCCGAAAATGATGGTTTCACATATACTGAAACATGTATGGTGGATGAAAAATTTACTGATTCTCTTTTGTACCCCATTTCTTCTCCTTCCTTTGCCACTTGTCATTGGAACAAAGGTAAGTGTAATTTTATGATGCATGTAAAGTGTTTTAAATAGGCAATAATTATGCTTATCTGAAAAGCAGAAGCTCCATAAATACTTTTACGAGAGTTGTGTCGTTCCCACAGGCCAGTGAGTGATTTGACACAGTCAAGTGTGTCTGAATCGTATCAAAGAGAGTCGAAAGAGACTCAGAGTTTAACTTTTTATGCATCTATCGATGTTCTTTCAGACGGATTTCTCTG